CCGGAGTTTAAGTTCTGATTAAGCACGATTCTGTTATTAGTACGATTTGCCAGGGGTTTTGTAGCAGTAAATATGCTAATAGATGGACTTACTGACAACAGTCGGCATTGCTTGGTAACCCTTTGTTGTTACGGATGAATTGTTTGCTTAATTACTGCTTCGATTTAATTGGTAGATCTGTTCATTAATCCCATGCACTATCAAAATAGAATGTTTTGACTTTGAAAAACACTTTATTTTCCTTAGTTGGACAGAAAAGTCTCAAACTGTGTGTTGTAATTTTACTGAGAAAGTTGCAACGACAGTGCGAGAGAATTTATAATTCTGTTCTGTTCTGTTCTGTTCTGTTCTGTTCTGTTCTGTTCTGTTCTGTTCTGCTTTGTTCTGTTCTGTTCTGTTCTGTTCTGTTCTGTTCTGTTCTGTTCTGTTCTGTTCTGTTCTGTTCTGTTCTGTTCTGTTCTGTTCTGTTCTGTTCTGTTCTGTTCGCGATTTTGAAAAGAGAATTCTCAATCATACCAGAGAAATGAAACGATGATAATTCTTTTTCTAAGTTTCTTGGCCTTAAATAAGTCAACAACTTGCTTCAACATTTTTATATCATCCTGCTCGCCAGTGCTTTCCAATGCGTCCATGACTTGCGCCTCATCCAACGACTTGCCATTTTTCCCACCAAACTTTAAAAGAATTTCACAAGCCTCTTTTCTTCTACCGTTCAAGGCAAGCCACCGAGCTGACTCGGGAAATACCCTTTAAAACGAAATTTCTTTGATTTATTTTCACATATGATAAACAGAAAATCACAATCACAACTTCAAAAACAACTTCAAGACAGCTCGCGCGCACATTTGTATAAGTTCCTTTTTCGCGCCAAAAAGACCTAGCGTCAACGAAAACAATTAGAATCAATTTATCAAACCTCCAGAACAGGAAAACAATGAGTAGWGGGAGACTGGCGGCCAGCAGGAGATAACTCCAATCTCGTATAARGTAAGCCAGCAAGATAGCCATTCCACCAGACGCCACCCAGTAGACATGATCAAGCTTACCAGCCATTGCTCGTTTTGATGGACCCACAAGTTCGATGATAAAAACAAAGAGTGTGATCATGAYGCCTGTCAGTGATGCTCCAACGACAAACCGTAACAAGGCAAACAGTGACAGAGACTCAGTAAAAGCTGATCCAACGGCAAATAACACCTGTCAGATTAGAAACAGGAATGTTTTAAAGTTGACAGGGAGATATCATCTTTGTGCCGGAAACATCCTTTTGATTTTGTACTGCTCAATGAACTATCGGATAAATACCATTGAATCAATTCTCTTCAAATTGCCCAAATAAAATAAAAACAKGGACAAATTTCTGACCCCGTTCTGACCTTATTGAAAAGACTTCATCAGGTCATATGCTATTATTTCATTGACAGTAAAATTGGTAGCGTTGACGWTCACGTCAACTTTGGATCATTTAACATTTATAATCATACAAATCATACCCAAAAAGTAAAAATTTGCAGCAAATAACARACACTAAGGTTTCTACTGTCCTTTCTGTTGACCACGTTTAAACTCGCGGGCGCAAAGCAAATGCAGTCCCACGCGTGTCATATAGAGAAGGGTGTAGAAACATCTAATTATGGGCATAATTAACTACGTGTACCATGACAAAGCTGGAAAAATAAATGGTTTTTCGTCGACCAAATGCGTCGGACACGATGCCAAAGATAACCGATCCTACCAGCATTCCTGCCATGAATACAGACTGCGTGATGGCTGCCAAGTGAGCCCGATCACAAATTAGATTCCACTACAACAAAATATCAAGAAACGAATTTGTCAGATTGGGGAAAAGAGTTTGCATCACGAAGTTTCATTGAGGACTCGGGAGGGGCGAAAGCAGGGGAGCAGGATGTTATTGCGCGTCTAGGGGGGAAACAAAATCATTAAGTACAGAAGTATTCCTTATTCTCTTTATTTTCTCATTTCATCCTAATGAAAAATGAATAATTGCCTTTAGAAGCTGTTAAAAATACTAGTAAGTTTCAATGAAAACCCGTAGCGATAATCTTTTCGGCAAAYCTTGTTTTTAGAGAATAAATGTATGAGGTACAAATAGATCTCATTTTTCCGTGTGTGTGTGTGTACTCTAATAGATACACAGATGACGTCAAAATGTAGTGRGAAYAACAGTCACGCACTCGACTGCGTCTCGTGCGTACTTTTTTGTTCTCACTACATTTTATTAGAGTACACACAAACACGGCAATGAGATCTATTTGTTAAATATAAACCATCCCCCTTGCAACTTACATCAGACACAATACTCGTGAAAGGTCCATCAAACGAGTACGATGTACAGTTATCACAGCATTTATTGGGGGGACATGTCGAGTTGACTTGTGCACAGTGAAACTGGGGGGTTCCCATTGCAAACACCAGGCAAGCAAGCTGCATTCCAAGAGGTAGAATAATAAAACATACACCAAAGTAAACCTTGGCTTGATAAGGACCAAACTCTCTGATATGATTAAACACACTATCAAATCCTTKGTAAGAYTTTGTTTCCATGGCTGCGTCAATCTAAAAGCAAACAATGAATTTAAATAGGTGATGTACAACAGCGCCATTTTGTACAGCAAAGCTTGATGGGAGTTTTAGACCTGGCACACTTTTATGATTCCATGTATACCAATCTCCCTGAGAAAGTCATTAATTTTATTATGCTTTTCTTTGCAGAAACGGCGTAAATACTTCTAGTTTTTTTTTACAAATTATATGGATGTCAATATYTTTGGTGATTAAGCTAAAAAAATACTATTATATATGGCATGGATTACATTCAGATTCAGAGATTATATAGTATCAAGTTGCAAAATAACAATAGGYATATCTTTGTTTCCAGTGCTGATACATTTTATTAGAAATGTTGTTTGTGAAAATTTAATCCCCCCACAAGTATTTCCAGACTTCAAAMATTACATTCAAAAGGCATTTTTCTACGACCAYGATTCGCGCCGAGTCATCGGCCATCTTGTGGATTTTCAAAGGCACGTATGTTTCACAGGGAAAACGAGTGACTTATTAAGTAGCCCACAAAACACACTACTGTGGCTCCCTTTAACAAAATTAAAATTGATTTTTTTTACTTTATGCCTAGTATATATCCCGTAAAAGATTAAGTTGATATTTTTAGGCCTGTTTAAAAAACTAAAAATTAAAATAAAAATAAAATAATGATTTTTAACATTTTTATAGTCGAAGATCGAAAACCCACTTTTCAATTATACATAGTATATATCCCGTAAAAGATGAATGTCTTCAAATACAATCAATTATAGAATTTCTAGACGCAAACTTAAATAAATGTATCAATAATGCAAGTTGTTCTTGTTCTATTTTTGCTAGGAAGGAACTTACAAAATCACATGAAATCACCCATGATGAATATAACTATAGCGTCATATGTCTTTATATAAAACTTACAAGTTATTCCTGGTATTGGTTCTCTTTCGCTTCTGTTTCACCTAACGTTTGATGAACGTATGTACGTAGATACTAATGTATTAATGTGCTAATGTGACATCCACGACAAAATTATAAATATATAAATTTAAATATTCAAGATGTCGTAGGTCCTGACAACCCATTATTTTTCGTACTTTTTGCTTTTTGAACCGGCCCATACTAATTCTCGTGAACTGAAGCAAATGAGTAGTAAATATAAATATGACAGCTGGCCCACCCTGGCAGAGAAACGTTATGTATACACAGTTACAGTATGTAATACCATCATCACATCTTGGAAGTCATGGCCACCTACTTTGTCACATAAACGCCTGCATGGCAGCGCAAACTCGWGTTGCATCTATCTGGCGTACTAGTAGTCAGAAAGGGGGCATCCATTTCACACGAAATACAAAATGAGCTGGAAAACATATTTCTAAATAATTCCTGACAAATAYAGATTTTTATTAAATGCACAGTGTAGTATTAACTGAAAAATTGTTGATTTTACCGGAAATTAACCTTTATAGCATGTTATTTATTTTCATTTTTTATTTTTGGCTATGATGAAGCAAGGTATAATGTATAATGTTTTGTCTATCTAATCTAACGTTGCCGCCTAACTAAAAGTGATGACTTTTTGTCGTTTTTAGCTATAATTTCGTCTCATCCTTTGCATCTTCAYCGAMATCTTCTACTGGTGTCGTCAAGGGGTATTTTCTCCTGGGGCAGCAGGGTATTTTGTAGCTGTCCGGKGAAGTTTCKGCCTCCTCTACTGTTTGRTGCATGATTTTACCAAGCGTCTCTGGGAGGCACAGTGAGAGTAAACCAGCTGCAACGGTTACAACACCAAAGACGGCAATTGGTAGAGTCACACTCACGTTTGGAAGCTGGGCCTGGGAAAACAATCAGTCAAAGAAAGCATACATTAGTATTTAAGTATGGACATTTTTCAGATCCTTTTCTCTCTCCATTAGTACCATGGATAACATCGTAATAATAACTAGCTATTTGAATAATAACTGATTACCTACCAGCATAACAATGAATGGTGCAATAATTGAACCAAGGCGACCAGACATTGATCCTATCCCTACTGCCACGTTCCTATGATACAAAGAATAAACCAAATGGATTGAAAAATTAGCCACAAAGTTAAGTTGCAGGATCATAAGTCTGGAAAAAGTCCCCAATAACTTAATCTTAAAGACGCAAAACCCAAATAAAAAGAAAAACCGCATTTAGGTAGTTTAAAGGACTGAAGAAATAAAAAATGAATTAATGATAAAAAAAGAAAACAAAAGAAATGAAAACAAATCAAATCAAAACAAAACAAAACAAAAGAGAATAAAACAAAAGAAAACAAAACAAAAGAAAAAAATCGCAAATTATGCGACTCTTATCCATTCAACCACCATGAATGGCACCAATGCATTTCTTTATTTCTTCAGCGCGGTGATTCTTGAGCCAGGAGAGCAGTAGATTATCACATGAGCGATTATTTTGTATTTTACCAGTATACCTGACTGCGGTGGGGAAGAGCTCTGTAGTGTAAGTATACACAACCGAGAATGCAGCTGAACAGAAAAACTTCCCAATCATGGTAATGGCAATGACGACTTTTGGATAATCTAAAAAGTAAATTTAAAAGTACAAAAATGCAACTCATGTGATATAGCAAYCAGCAATGATTTGGAAAAGGAAACTTTAGATCATACAATACTGTTCTGCAAGCTTTGTTGTTGTTTTTCTTCTAATTCTTCRCAGATAAATTTTTTTCTTCACTTTGACGTTCGATATCGTCCACGTAAGCTCACGTACCAGTACATTTAAACACTATATTTGACTCTTTATAAATAGAGGTGAGATGAAACATACCTTTGACGGCTAAAGAAAGTAGGCAAGTACCCCCACCAAACAAGTAAAACAAAGAAATCGTTAAACGACGACCAATCCTGATTGACAAGAAATCATAATATCTTTAATACGAGAAAACTAAAGAGACTTCCAACTAAATGAAATTAAAATCGACGTAGTGCGCTTTCTTATGGTCCGTGTTGCCTTGCATAGCTGTTTGCACTGATCATACAGTCTGATACAACCATATGACAGTCAGATTTTTCTACAGACCGACAAAGATCAACTCCATATGCATACATACGTACGTTTGCATAAGAAACCATCCAATGGGAGTGTGCGGTAAATCAACCAGAAACAGCAGAAACATGTTGAGGTACAGATTTCCTGACAGGCTCGGCACATACAATATAAATCCAAAAAATGACATGCTAACGGACATCCTAAAAAGTAAAACACCATTTATAAAGTCTGTAATTAAATAAAAATGGATTTTTCGAGCGCATATCAGTTTATATTGTCACTAATGAAAATTATTTTACCAGAGAAAAGAGAGGATCAACATTCTTTTTCTAAGTTTCTTGGCTTTRATTAAGTCTGTCAATCGCTTCAAAATTGTTTTGTAATTCCCTTGTTGGTCTTCACCGGTAGTTATTAGTGCGTCCATAATAGCGTCATCATCCAATGACTTGCCATTTTTTCGTCCAAACTTTAWCAGAGTTTCACAAGCTTCAAGTCTTTTTCCTTTYAACGCAAGCCACCTAGCAGACTCAGGAAATACTCTAAAAGAAAACAATTCTATTTAGACTCAATAATGTTACATGTAATTAAATTCAATTTTTCAATATAAAATTTTACTTGGCAATTGGCGCCAAAAGTAAGCACGCGCGCACAGTGTTGTGCTTTTCGCGCCAAAACTTTGAAATGAAGCAAAACAAAAGAACGAAAGCAGTGATGACAATGCACTTCATCGATAGAAGTATAGTTAAAAATAAATAAATGAAAATTGTCATTAAAAGAACATTATAACATTACAGTAAATAACTTTCCTACGCGAATAATATTGAGCATTTTCGTCATTTTGATTTACCAGGCCTGAAAGATAGCCTTGAGGTGCATCAAAATACTGAAATATTTAGAGCTGAGACTGGGTTGTAACCCTTAATCTTAATAGTGGCAAAGGAAAAAAGTTCCCATTCCGGAAACGCACTGTAAAATTACTCATACAAGCTGAAATCTCTCATTTGTACGACCAGGTATTCCCAGTATTTCTCAGTAAACACTGCATTTTTTTCGCCTCGTGAAAAATAAATAAATTAAAGTTAATTATAAACCTCCAAAAMARGAAAACAGCGAGAAGAGGGAGACCACAGGCCAGCAGGAGATTCCTCCAATCTCGTATAAAGTAAGCCAGTACGACCGCTAATGCACCAGAYATCACCCAGTGCAAGTCTGTTATCTTGCCAGCCATTGCTCGTTTTGATGGMCCAACAAGTTCGATATTAAAAACAAAGAGTGTGATCATGACGCCTGTCAGTGATGCTCCAACAACAAACCGTAACAAGGCAAAGAACGACAGACAGTCGGTAAAGGCTGATCCAACGGCAGATAACACCTAGCAAATAAACATGGACCAGAAAAATGTTTTGGAGAGTATACTTTAACTATTACACCTTGAGGTCTATTGTATTACGAGTTGAGTCCATTATATATTATATAGATCGTACTTTTTAGTATCCACCAAACTATAAGACAATCTATAAGGCAATCGAAATGCACAATGTGGCGGATAGCCCATAGTTTTGTTGATACTAACAAAAAACATATATATCAAATTGAATGGTGTAACTACCATGACCAGGCTGGCAAAATAAATGGTTTTTCGTCGACCAAATGCGTCGGACACGATGCCAAATATAACCGATCCTACCAGCATCCCTGCCATGAATACAGACTGCGTKATGGCGGCCAAGTGAGCCCGATTACAAATTAGATTCCACTGGAAATAAAAATATCAAAACAAATGAGTCAGATCGTGCGAAAATCGCATTTCGTCAACTWGAATCCTAAATCCGAGCAACTAGGGCCAGAATCTTACATCGGACACAATACTCGTGAAAGGACCATCAAACGAGTACGATGTACAGTTATCACAGCATTTATTGGGGGGACATGTCGAGTTGACTTGTGCACAGTGAAACTGGGGGGTTCCCATTGCAAACACCAGGCAAGCAAGCTGCATTCCAAGAGGTAGAATCAGCAAAGATGCTCCAAAGTAAACCTTGGCTTGATAGGGACCAAACTCTCTGATATGATTAAACACACTATCAAATCCTTGGTAAGATTTTGTTTCCATGTCTGCGTCAATCTAAAAGTATACAGCGCCTTTCAGTTAGCGGTGATGCAGRGGAAGCCATTTTGTGCAACAGAGCATGATGGTAGTTTTAGTCRAGACTGTAAACGGGAGCTCCGTCAAATCGTATAATAAAATGTGTAACTATAAGCAACGGTTGGCTTAAAAAAAGTTCATCGCGTGGCCATAGTTTAATGTTTCATAATAGCTTGATTATTCTGCTTACGTCTTTTATTGAATATACTTCGTGCTTACGTAGCATGTTGTATCTTTCGATAGGACAATATAATGACGTAAATTAAAAAACAAGAAAACAAATAACATGAAACTTCAAAACTACAGTCACGGTGTATATCCTGCTACAACACATACACAGGCATTTCGCAGTTTACTTTTAAAGTTAAGAGGCCCATCATTTGACTTAGTCAGTCGGGAGTGGGGCTGTTGGTATAAGAGCAGGGCCACTCTTAAAAACCATAACTTCTTATTTTAATAAATCTTACGTTTTCTTTTTTATCGATTTTTCACCTGTTATTTTTTAGAAGTGATTATTTTCTTTAATATATTGGTGTAAGTTCGAAAACTCATATTTTTAATCTGTTTTTGTCTCTTGATTCATGTCAATTAAAAGACATTTAAAAAGTAGTACTTTTTAGTTGAATAGTCAAATACTTTGTAGATGTCTTTTAATCCCACTTCCAATACATGTATCAAGAGGCAAAAACGGCATTAACAATAAACAAATAACTTGAAACTGCAAAACTAAAGTGTATATCCTGCTACAACACATRCAGACATTTCGCAGTTTACTTTTAAAGTTAAGGGCCGACCCACATCATTTGACTTAGTCGGGTAAAACAGGCTGTTTTACCTTTTATTGCAAATAGTGTCTCGTATTTTGTTAACTGACTTTCAATATAATATCAACTTACGAGTCTGTTGTGGTCTTCTTTTGCTTGTGTTTTACTCAAGTGATGAGCGCACGTGTGTACTTAGATACCAACGTGTGCATGAGATATGCCCCGAAAATGAATTTCAAATATTTTAATATTCATGAGCGTCTCAGGTACAACCCTTTGACTTTCCGTTCTTTTCTRATTATGTCGTAAGGTGAACTAGCCCTTGAAAGTTCTCGTGAAAAGGCACGAAYAAGCTACTCGTACAGTCACTCGTACRYAAGTAGTCGTAAATACTTCAATTTMTTTACCCCACCAGAAAGAAACGGTAAGCATGTTTTATTATTTCGTAATACCATTATCTCATTTGGGAAGCCATGGTCACCTAATAAATTGCATGGCTTCGCGAACATGTGTGGCACCTATATTTCGTACCCGTAGACAGAATTAGTTCATCTTAAGTTGATTTTCATGAAAATTGGAAACGGATGGGATGGAAAAAAGACATACCTTTCCAAATAGCTGCTGACAAATAGCTTTTTATTCCTTTGCGCAAACTTACTAAAAACTAATAAATATTACCGGAAGTTAACCTATCACTCCTAAATAAGTTTTTTTACTGAACAAACCCATTAAAGCTATGGTGAATGTCTAATTTACCTAATTTACAATGCTTTTTTTCGTATAATCCAATGTTGCCTAAAATCCAGTTGAGTTTTGTCTTAAATTTAAATTTTTGTTTCATCATTTGCTTCTTCATCAAGATCTTCCATTGGTATCTTGGCAAAGTCTTTTCTCCAAGGACAGCAGGGTATTGTGTAGCTGTCCGGTGATGTTTCTGCCTCCTCTATCGTTTGGTGCATTATTTCACCAAGCGTCTCTGGGAGGCACAATGAGAGTAAACCAGCTGCAACGGTTACAACACCAAAGACGGCAATTGGTAGAGTCACACTCACGTTTGGAAGCTGGGCCTGAGAAAACAATAATCAGTCAAAGAAAGCATACATTAGTATCAAAAATTTATGGGAATTTTT